CAATCTCGGTTGAACATGGGAAACATCTGGTGAGTTCTTAAAATAACCAAGGCCCAGTTCCCACACTGGAGCATGGAAAGCAGAATTTCTAGTGTGGTGGCCCCTCCCCAGGTTCCCCAGATGAAGACCTTCCTGTATCTTCTTGGCTCCTTACATCTTTTGAGTCTGGACTTTGAAATCCGGACTTAGTTTTATTACAACATGCATTTATTTGTGTTTATCTTAAACTATGCATTCCTTGAGGGTGAAACACTATTTCACTCACCATTGTGTCCCTAGCATCTAGCACTGGCAGGCCCCTCCATAAAGATTAGCGGAGAACATAAGTACCTGAGTGAAGCAGAGAAGAAACTGTGCCTTCTACTTCTTAAAGCCACTTTCTTCCCTGGCTTCCTAGTTCTTTTTCATTTTTCTTGCTGATTGTCATCTACTTCCTGTTTTTGTTTTATTTTTCATTCACTGGCCCTTCTCCCTCAACCCACTTCTGACATAGCAAGATGGCCCTGCAGCCTGCCCTCAGCCCTCTTCCCACCACACACCTCCCTGGTGACCTCAATGCATGTGGCTTCCACCTTCTCCCATCTGCGGAGCGCTTCCAAGCCCACATCTTCAACTCCCACCTTTCACATGAGTTCCAGACCTATCTTGCATCTGCTTTTGGTAAAGCGCCTGGGGAGAGCTAGATTCTAATGCTGGAGGCTGCGGGAATGGGTATAGGTCCCTGTTCAACCACCGTCTCTTCAAAATACTTCATTTTGTTTTTCTGCATTGGTGAACTCGGGTTGTTGATGGCATTCAATCTGTAAGGTTGTTTTGAGGATTTGATGAAACAGTGTATATATAAAGCTTTGTGTGCAGTGCCTGGCTGGCAAAGAGTAAGTGCTCAATAATTGTAGGATACTATTACTAGACATTTCCATCTGAGGGTCTTATGGCCTCCTGAACTATCCAAACCCAAATGTAGTCTCAGCCCTCTCCTACCTCTGTCTGTTTCTAAACCTCCTGACCTCCAAGGTAATTCTGGAATCAGTGGGACCTTGACTGAGCCAGGTGTATCGTGGGCCTGGGAAAGACCTTTAGCAGACCTTTGTTATGTCCATAGCCTTCCGTATCTCTTGGCCAGATGGTTACATCTGCCTACCTCTCCTCCAGACTCGCTCTCTAACACAAACTCTTGTGTGGTCTGCTTCTGCAGAAGTACTTTTGTAAAATGCCAAGCAAATCTGGTCTTTCCCCATCACCCTTCCACGCCTGCCTCAGAGATCTTCCAAGGACAGGACAAAGCCCAGAACCCTTCATGTGGCAAGTCACGGCTTTCAGATTTGGTCTTCGGACCCTGAACTCATTTTCCCCTAGTGTTTCTGCTTCTTATCTTTGATACTTGCTGTTTCTCCTTTTTGAAGTGCCCTTCCCTCTTCCCCTGACCCCTCACAGAGCTTGTTGTGTCTGCAGTTCACTGTCCACACAAAGCCCTAACCTACTCTAATGGTTATTTACTCCCGCTTGCTTCTCATTCTCCATCCCACTTCCAAAGCTGGTGAACTCAGTGATAGTGGACAACTTCTTTTTCTTTTTTAAATGTAACTTTATCATTGCAACTGCCAATCCTGGGACTTAACATGTAATAGGACTCAATGATTTATGAGGGAATGAACCTGGAGAGACGAGGCTTTGGAGAAAAGAGTTCCAAAGAGTTCATGTCTTTGTTCTATTTATCTTAGTAGAATAATGTGACTTTCTTATGGCTTGAATATCCTGCGCAGTGCTTTGTGTAAGAAGCTGGGGCATGTTGTGACAGGTCTTCGGGAACAGGAGAATTGTGACATAGTATATTGTATTCTGTGATTTAAGTTGTGTATGCAAACACATTTGACAAACATTCCTCTGGGTGCCCATTATGCACAGGCCCTGGGCAAAGCATTAAGAGCAGATCATAATGACACTACAATCCTGCTTCTAATTTAACTGTGTCTTTCCTTTATGCTAAGCTCTGTGCCTGGAGGGATTAACCACCTCCTAAATATCAGGAAATGGAGGCTTCTATCTAAAGGAATTAAGCTAATGAAAGAAATCCAGATTTGAACCCAGCCCTGCCCTGTCTCTAAATTCCTGACACCTTGCCTTGCTGCAAACCACCTCATGGCTTCTGATTATAGAACACCTCCTGTCTCTGAGGAGCTAGGCATGTGTTGATTCCATTTAGTTCTTCTAACACTCAGCAAGGCCTTATTGTCCCCATGTGGAAGAGAGAAAATGGGCTCAGAGGATCACAGAGAACTGTGGCAGGTGGCAGAGCTGGGATTCTTGGGGTCTCCTTTGACTCCTCAGCTCATTCTCTATCCTCTTTGCAAATGGCATGGTCTAGCCAGAGGGCAAGAGTCTTGTAAGCAGGCCACTGAAGTTCAGTGTCATTGTGACGCATACCATAGCCTAGGCCTGGTGCAGTGAGGAAAAACTGACAGAGCTGCACAGGTGGTGGGGTGCAGAATCCTGATCAGGTCAATAATGTGTCGTTAAATCGTTCCTTCATCAGCGTTTGGGCCTTCAATTTTCAGGATACTAGTAATAGATGCAGACACAAGAAAGAAAGGCAGGCTCATTTTTAGGAAGAACTCAGTCTGTTAGAGAGGAGAGGATGGAAGGACAAGATGAAGAGAAGGAATGACAACAGGAGGAAGTAGGGCTGCAAGAGCTAGTTGCCAGGCACGGAAATTAACCCAGAAGCCCCTCAGTTACCCACCCATTCCATGCCCATTCCTCACCAGTCCCATGAGGCCTTCCGGGATCTGCCCTGCCAACCTCTCTGACCTATTCTTTTGCCACACTCACCTATTCATAGTCCTCCAGGTTGTCTATGTGTTCCTGTCTCAGGGCCTTTGGCCTTGCTGTGCCCATCTCCTGGCTTGCTCTTTCCCTTTTGCTTCACATCCGTGAATCAGCCAGGTTTCAGCTCAAGCGTCCCCTCCTCACAGAGCTCTTCCCTGGTTGTCTTCCCCATTTACTCTTTGTCACACCAGCCATTTCTTGCCAAAGACTAGTTAAAACAAAAATGTCAGTGTAAGTCGGTAGTTAGGAGCATGCGCTCTGGAACCAGGGTTCCGCTCTCAGCTCTGACAGCTCATAGCAGGAGAGCCTCGGGCAAGCTTCTTAACCTCTCTGTGCCTCAGTGTTCTCATCTGAAAATTGGAATGATAATAATAGCATAAGGTACGATTGCAGGGATTAACTGAGATTCGATGTGTAAAGCACTAGTAGTGCCTGGTCTGTGGGGGTGTGTATGAAAATCAAAGAGTGAGTGAGTCATCTAATTTTCACTCATCCATCCAACGCATGCCTAGTTTGAATATATCGACAGGACAGAATGGAGGACTGAGCATACAGGGACAGACAAGTAGTCTCTGTCCTAGAGGGGGCTTCAGCCTGCCCAGACCATTTCCCTTGTTGGTACAGATAATGAATTTTATTGGTAAACTTCTGCCTAGAGCTACCATTTATCTTCATTCTGGTTACATCCTTCATCTGCTTTGCTTCCTGTTCTGGGATTTGTGGAGCCAATGCTGGATCATGACCTGAGTGACACATAATAAATCTATACAGTTTTGCACCCATGTGATTTATTTATTGCTTATAATTTTACTTCTTCTTTTTAGTAGTATGTTCAATTAGATGTTTGGCTAATGGTGAAAGGTCAACTCTCACAAAAGAATGACCAAAGCAGAATAATAGCTAAAAGGCTCTCATACCCCCTCCCCGTCTTCTGTTTTCATTGCTTCGAAGAAGGTTCCATAGATACTGGACCACCTACTACCTCTTCTCCAAGTCTGCCTCATTTCTTCTTGAGCTGGTTTTCACTTCCTCTCAGAAGCCTTCCCTGATTTTCTGAGATGGTGGGCTCTGTAGACCTCGAACTCACTATGTAGTAAGACTTACTGTTCCACTGCAGGGGAGCTAGGGGAGCTATCTACTTGCCCTCTGGTCAACCTGTGCCTCTTTTTGTGTTATTCTTCAATGTATCTTCAATGCAGACACTTTTTTGTTGTTGTTGTTAAGAATTAGTGTTCTCACCATTTGACCCAGTTATCCCACTCCTCAGTATATACCCAAAGGACTTAAAATCAGCATACTATAGTGATGAAGCCACATCAATGTTTATAGCAGCTCAATCACAATAGCTAAGCTATGAAACCCACGTAGGTGCCCTTCAATGGGGGAATGGATAAAGAAAATGGAATATTAATAAACTATAAAGAAGAATGAAATTATGACATTTGCCAGCAAAAGGATGGACTTGGAGGCTATCATGCTAAGTGAAATAAGTTAATCTCCCCCCAAACCAAAGGCTGAATGTTCTCTCTGATGCTAACACACAATAAGGGTAGGAGAGAAAAGATAGAAAAATTGAATTTACGTAGAGGACAAGAGCCATTAAAGGAGATAAATTAGCAATTTGCACTGTGCTACAGAAAGCATGTTCATTTTATAAGGGGACGTTTTGCAGAATCCACTGAGTAGGATGATGCTATAAAAACAACCTCAAATCTTAGTGTTTTCACACACACACAGAACGACTTTCTTGATTATGTAGTAGTTTGGTGCAAGTGCTCAGTCAGAAGCCTTACAAATCTTGAGAATCCACCATCCCTACTGCCCTTGGGTTCTCTGCTGGCCCTTTTCTGCATTTGACTAGCCAATGGGAATGAGAGAAGAAGATTGCTCAGGAGGTTTTCTTCTTGGCCATGCCTGATCATGGCACACATCACTTCCCAGACCACTAACTGAACTCAGTCTCAGGGCCACACACACTCCTGGGACTCTGGGGCAAATGGTCCCACTGTGTGTCCAGCGGGGGGAAGGGGAACAGGTTTTGGTGCCTGCCCAGCAGTGTCTGCTGCAGCAAGCATTTCAGAGCCAGGAGCCCCTGGATCAAGAGACCCTTGTCTGTCTGCAGCGGGTTCCAAAGTAAAGGAATCACACTGATTACTGCTGTTTTGACTTCACAGACAAACTCATGTGATCAGAATCTAAATTACTGCCTTGAAATCATTGAACAAGTTGCCAGAGTGCAGGGACAGCTCTTTGGAATCCTCACTATTGCAGCCCAAGAAGGTGAGAAAGGCCCATACTTTCCCCTACCACTCTCTCTTCTAGTCCCTTTCCATTGTTGGTGTTTGCTGACTGAACTGGTGTGCACTTCGCTTTCTCTCTCTGACCTTGTGCATGTTTTCTTAGGAGGACATAATGATGGTGTGGAAACAATCAAGTCTCGCCTTTTGCCTTGGCTGGAGGCTTCTTTTACTGCTGCTTCCATGGGAAAACCTGTTGACAGCAGGGTCCCCTCTCTACAGGTAGGAATGCTAAAGAATGGCCCTTGACTTCCTGAAACAATGCCATACAATGGAAATTTCTGAGGTAATGAGAAAACTTAGCCAAGAGTGTCATAATTTGGGATTACTGGTTTCCATGGGAGAGTGTCAATTCCAACAGCCGGAGACCAGACTAGAATAGAATATGGGCCTTGCTTCATGCATCAATATCATTATGTCTGGGTAAATACAACACCAGTATATGAGTTTGTTTTCCAGGACCACAACACAATACCTGAGATTGGATAAAATATAAATAAAAGAGTTTGATTTAGCTCCTAAGTTCTGAAGGCTGAAAATCCAAATAGCACAATGCTGACTCTAAAGGCACCTCCTAGAGGGGACATATGGCAGGAGCATATGTGGGAGACAGAGATCAAATAGAGACAGGAATCCAGCATGTGAAGAAACAGGTCAGGATTGCTCTTTTATAGCAACCATTTCCAAGAACTACATCAGTTCCTTCCGAGGACACTGCTCTCAATGACCTAAAAGCCATTTAAGGTTCCACACCCCCTCTCACCTTGCCATACTGGGGACCAGCCTTCCAACACACGCACCCTCGGAGGACACACTCAAACCATATTCAAGCCGCAGTGATCACCAGCTTTACTTTTAAATGTTTAAATGGATAAACATGAATCCCTTTCTAAAACTGAAGCCGTTAGAGCAGACTGTTTTAATGCAGGGGTCTTAACTAGACAGAATCCCTGCTTGGAGATCTAGGGCCAGGAAATCTGTCCTGCTCCCATGGCCCTTGGTAGGGTCTGAACATTTATGTCTCAGTTTCCTTCTTTGACTGAATTAGGACAATGATTTTACTGGCCTAACTAATAATGGGGTCATTGTGAGAATGAAATGCAATAAACATGAAAAACCCTTGCAGAGGTGTGGCGTGTGGTTAAGACTTTAAATAGCTATCAGTTGTCATTACTCAGTAATTTTTCTCCCTGAGGATTTTTAAATGCTTCTCAAATTTTTACTCCCTGTGGGTATTACATCCGGTTGTAGAGACATCAGATGATGCTTTAAAAGATTTTTTAATCTATTTTTTTTAAATCAAAATGTAATTTATGTACAGTGAAATCCCAGGTCAGTGAGTTTTGACAAATCCCTTACTGAGAGATGAAGCATTTCCATCACTCCAGAGTGTTTCTTGTGCCACTCCAGGGCAACCACTCTTCTGGTTTCTATGACTCCAGATCAGTTTTGTCTGCTCTAGAACTTGATGCAAATGGAAGCACACATTATGTGTTCTTCTGTGTCTTGACTTTTTTTTTTTTTTTTTGCTCAGTGCAGTGTTTTGCAATCCATGTCATTTTGTGTATTCAGACTAATTTTTATTTTTTTTGTTATCTTTTCAGGACACATTTGAAAGGGAGAGACTTAAAGGGAGTAGTCCTCGGGACCTTAAAGGGAGGAGTAGTCCCCGGGACCTTAAAGCGAGTAGTCCTCGAGACCTTAGAGCGAGTAGTCCTCGGGACCTACAACAACTAGACTCTGACTTGAACTCAACCCGTAATCAACTCAACCAGGTTAAAGACGAGTAAGAGGAATGCAAGTTATCTTTCTTCAAAAAGAATTGTTTTCAATTTAACTCTGTTTAAATTTGAAGGAGAATAATGGCTCATGTGAAATGTGGGCATTTGTAAATAAGTAACATGATTTGTGCAAGTTGGGAGTCAATGTCTGAGTTTGGGGACAAGATACCAATCTGGTCTGTGATCCCTGGTCCCTCGCCTCCATCTGCTGAGCTATGCCTCCTCTGCAGGTCCAGCATCAGCTCAGAGTTTAAATAAATAAGTAAAGATTGTAGATGAAAAATCTATCCTTGGGAGGAAAGATTTTTTTGAAAAAGATATAGAAGGGGAAGAGTTAAAGAGGATGAAAGATCAGCTAATGAGGAAAAAGAAGAGAATAAAAGACAAAGCAGCTATACTAATGTTCTTTTCAGGCCTATTGATGCCTGATGGGAGAGAGTTAGAGTTTTAAAAAATAAGATTTTGAAATAATTCTTAGGTATAATAATATATTTTTAAAAGTTACTGGCAGGCAACAACAGATGTCAGAGGCAGGCTCTGGGCAGTCAGGGTAGCAAGCACAGGGAATCACTGCAAAGAAAATTGCAAGTTTGGATTTGTTCTTGAGGAAGATAGACAAATATGCATGAAATTGCCTTTGACAGAACTTAACAAAAGTCTGTTAATAAGGTCTTTCCACTCCCACAGTATTGCTCCATTGCTTCCGGGAAGGGAAAGGAAGTCTGTTTTAACCAATTAAGTCTGTGATGAAATAGTTGTAGTCCTCTGCGTTGTTCTCATGAGATGTCCTGTCTTCTCTCCCAAATGAAGATATCCCTATTGATTTAGTTTTACTTGATTATAAAAGTAGTACTAATTTCCTCATCAAATGTATACAAGTACCAAAAATGTAAAGATGAAAATAACTGTTACCTCACCTCTGTCAATATGTTGGTATATTTGGCTCCAGACATTTTTCTACGTACTTATGCCTCTACATGCACCTGTGCATTTTTCCACTTGGAATCATAGTCAGCGAGCAGGAGTACAACTGCAGAAGTCAAACTGTACAGCTGTAACATGCAGGGAACATGATTTCTCTGAATCTCTATTTATTTCAACCCATGTCAGCTGATCTTTATATTTGCCTCATCTAGGTCTTTCCTGGTTAAGTATAGTCACTTTTGTGAAAACTTCAGTTAATAGTGAGAACTTCTATTCAGAGGTAGTTTTGCCCTGGCATGGAGCTTCCTCTCCCCTTATCCTTCCTTAGATTGGCATCTAGGGAAAGGATGCTACAGATAAGATCTTTTGCTCATGTACTGTATTCTCAGCCTTAGTGGACTTGGCACTAGTGTCTTGTGCTGAGGGGTCCTGAGTTGTGCTTTGTCTGCTTAGGTTTCCAGGAATAAGAGCCCCTCTAGATGCTTCTAGTTGTGAAGCAGGACTTCAATACTTTGCTGGTTCTTTTTTATTTTTGGTACTGGGATTGAACCCAGGGGTGATTAACCTCTGAGCTATCCTCAGTCCTTTTGTCATATTTTATTTAGAGATAGGGTTTCACTGAGTTGCTTATGGTCTCGCTAAATTGCTGGCTTTGTGTGATCTATTTGCCTTAGCCTCCTGAGCCGCTGGGATTTCAGGTGTGGACCACTGTGCTCAACCCACCTGTAGTTCTTATTCTGTGTTTTTATTTAAGGTAACCCAAATGTAAGTCTGTTCCCAAAATTCTATGGTAAGCAGCTCCCTCTTCCCTCTCTGATTCTGGCTTCCTTTTCTTCAGTTCCCCAGATGGTCCTTTGCAAGCAAGCAGTGTGTCCCAGAGCTGTCTTCTCAAACAGAAGTCTTTGCTGGGTGGGGTCTTACTAACTCCTGAGATGCCCTCAAGCCATCTTTCCTATTGTCCTGATGCAAAATACTTGGTGGCTTCTGTTTCTCCTCCTCCTCCTCCTCCTCCTTCTCCTCCTCCTCCTCCTCCTCCTCCTCCTCCTCCTCCTCCTCCTCCTCCTCCTGTTCCTTCTTATTCTGAGATGGGGGTCTCTGTATTGCCCAGGATAGCCTCACTTACTATTCTCCTGCCTCAGAATCCCAAGTAGCTGGGATTACAAGGATGGGCTACTGCACCCAGATTCTTTTCTTAACGGCATTAATCTCTTTAGCAACCATATTCTTCTTGGATGCAACTTTAAATGTGCTTTATTTGGGGACAAACTCCAAGTTTTACATCTTTCCACACTGATTTTTGCTTTTGATTCTCCCTGTGAATCTGGCTAAAAGCAGCCAACAATACCCCTACCACTGCCTGTATGCTGTGTTGCCTTGAAATTTCCTGCACCACATTAATTAATCCATCACCTTTAAACTGAACTTCCCATAAAGTCTCAGCATGAGCAAAGTGTAGACAAATTCTTTGCCAGAACTGAAACACCCTAGAGTCCTCATTTCCATCTGAAACTTCATGAGCATAGTCTTTACTCTTCACATTCCTATCAGCATTGTTGTTTTGAGCTTCCACCAGAATCATTCATGAAGTTCTCTTTATGGCATTCTAAGCTTTTTCCAGTCTGCTTCTCCAAATTGATCCAAACTCCTCCTGCAAATGAATTCCAAAGGCTCCTGAACCGCCACACTTCTCAGTAGCAATTTTCCATTTTAGTCAGATTTCCATCTCTCTGACAAAATATCTGGTGTAAACAACTTAAAGGTGGAAAGATTTAATTTGGTTCATGGTTTCAATCCTTGGCCACTTTGCCCCTGTCCTTTTGGACTTGTGGTGAGGCTGAATATCATGGCAGGGAACATGTGGTGAAGCAGAGCTGCTCACATTATGGCAGTCAGGAAGCAAAAAAAGAGAGAGAGGGAGAAAAGGGATCAGGGTCCATATATAATCTTCACTGCTCCAATGACCTGTTTCCTCCAACTAGGCCCAACTTCCCCATCATCTGGGGACCAAGACTTCAACACACAAGCTTTGGCGGGGCCAGGCGGGGTGGGGACACTTAAGATCTAAACCACAGCAGAATCCCAGGTCTCATTTCCCACTCTTCTTTCACCTGTGTTTTCTTAGCCTCAGGATTACTGTGATGAAAGAGTTTGCCTGTTCCAGGGAGGCAGATCAGAGAAGTCAGGGACCCATGATTATCTCATGGTTCCCAGGGCAACTTCACTGAGAACCACTGATCTTTGTCCGTGGTCATCCATCCCACTTCCACTTATTTTTAAATTTAGATAGGCCTAAAAAAAGAGAGTATATTATTATGATTTGCTTACAATGAAGAGAATCCTTGAAACTAACAACAAAAACTCAGGAAAATTGTGCACAATAAGTGGCAGACATCAGAAGCAGAAAGACCTGAAATACTTGTAGTCTGATGTGATTGTGGAGGACTTTCGTAGTGGGCAATAAGCTTTTTATATTATGAAGTTTGGGAAAAATAAGGCAAATGCAGCTCTACAGTGCAAAGCAACAGGAATAGGTATTGGTATATTGAAGAAAAATGGAGATTTTATAGAGAGACAACCTGGGGATTGGGTATAAATAGAGTAGATGAATTAGGAAGAGGCGAAGGAGGTCCAATTGAATGAGTTCCTTCATCCTTTACATTTTAACATTAATAGTTATCACACAGTCTTTAAAGTAGCTCTGACCTTCCTCTGTGTTTGACCTTGAGCTAAGGGTGCTGGCATGTTTTTGTGTCCATGTCCACCATAATATCTGCAATATTATCTGATTGAGTGCAGATGTCTTATAATTTGATTTTGTTTTCATTGAATTTATATCATATGACAAAGGTCTCCAAGAGAACCTAGGCCTTGATTTGGAAAGTCTGCTGATTTTAGAAAATCTGTCTTTAGTTACTGATTTCTCTTACAGTCTTGCTGAAACTGGAAAGTCTCTCGAAGAAACCAAGAACAGATCTGCCATATCCCTTTTGGCTGCAGAGGAGGAAATAAATCAGCTAAAAAAGCAGTAAGAAAAATGATAGGATTATTGCAGCCTCCTGATTAATCATTGACTCAAGTTTTTTTTGATGCTCTGTTACAGTATGAAAAAATATTATTCATAATTAGAGAGAAAAGGCAGCAACATTTTTAGTAATGTTTGATATATTTTTCTTATTACAAAAATGTTACCTAAGGCTCAGTGGTAGAGTGCTCACTTAGGATGCTTGTGGTCCTGGGTTCAATCCCAATACCACAAAAAGAAAACAAAAATATTACTTACCTGATATAGACTAAAGTCTCTGAAGTACAACATAATATGAAGACATCTGAAAACCCTCTCATAATCCTAGTGCCACTAACTGTCCATTTGATGTTCCTTCTGATTAACAGTGCAGAATACAGATTAAAATATATAAGTATATATTTTTGATCCCCAAAATATATTTGTTTTCCTCTATCACCATGAAAAAATAATTGCAGAACTTAGTTTCAAATACGTTCATCATTTCCATCATTTGGATATTCCCTTCATGTTGAATATTAACTTAGATGCGGATTTTCAACATTGGAAAACAACACTGGGATAATTTTGTGGAAAATCTGAGCTTAAATTTCATATTATTACCTAAAGATCAATTTCTAGAAGGGAACAAATCGACATGTGGCTCCTTTAAGGTTATATGTTTTTTGGTGTTAGTTTTGATTTCCAAGTGGTAAGTGTATTTTACTCACTTATACTCACAGACACATACTCAAACTCACACTTTCTGATGGTTTTCACATTCTAGTTGTTCTCCTTTCTTCAGGAACACACATACCTCTTAGCTTAGAAGCTGTTCTGTTTTCCACTTTTAGCTTCTCTCTCATCATCATTTAAACTCTTATTTCCTATTTGGTACACGTTCGCAAGTTCATTGATCATATTGCTCATTGGTCTCCATAGTTCTGAATCTGTTGTCTGCTGTTTTTGGTGTAGCTTTTAACCCTATTACCTTTTTTCACTTCTCTTCATACTTCTGAATCTTAATTCTCACCTTCTCATCTTGCACTATTGTCATGATCATCACAGCATGTTCTTCTATGGCTTTTGCTTCTGTTTTGTGGAAGCCACATCTCTTTGGATCTTCAGGAGGGTGCCAGTTTTATTTCTAAAGATTTTTTTGTTGGTTTGTTTCTGTACTCCATTATTTTCATAGTTTTGTACTTCTAGATAGTCTTTTGAATACCATTCAATTTCTATTGAAGTCCATCCCTCCAACTCTTTTTTTTTTTTTTTTTGAGGTACTGGGGAGTGAACCCAGAGCCTCATGTTTGCTAGGCAAGTGCTCTACCACTGAGCAACACCTTCAGCCCTGGACTAGGATTTGAAGGTCAGGTGTTTCCAGAATTTCATAGAATGGAGACCAGTGTGGAACAGCATGAGTATAGGTCCACTCTACTATTCTTAGAGGCCCTGCATGAGCATTCTTTCTTTAGGGACCTTTTCCCATGTAAGCTGCAGATGGGGACTAACCCCCAGATACTGGCAATTCTGCTCTTTGCTCATATGTGTTTGTTCATGTGTATTTCCATCTCACCTTTCCAATGCAAAATGGCAGGCTAATGTTAGGTATACCAGTTGTTGTTTATTGCGCTCTCTCTCTCTCTCTCTCTCTCTCTCTCTCTCTCTCTCTCTCTCTCTTCTTTCTCTTCATTTCCTTTTCCCTTTCCTTCCTTTCCTCTGTTTAATCTTTTCCCTTCCCTCCCCGCCCTGTTCTCTCTGCTCTTCAGGCTTAAATCTCTTCAAGCCCAGGAGGATGCTCGCCATAGGAACTCAGAACCTAGGCGTACAGACCAGAGCAGAGAACAGAGCAGAGACCAGATCAGACCTGAGCACCGCAGTTCCTTCAAGAGGGGCTCAGAGAGAAGGAGCTCTGATCAGAGGAACTCGGAGCCACGCTCTGATCAGAGGAACTCCGAGCCACGCTCTGATCAGAGGAACTCCGAGCCACGGACCTTAGAGCAGCGGTGCGCAGAGCAGCGGAACCTAGAGCAGCGGTGCGCAGAGCTGCGGAGCTTAGAGCAGCAGCGGAGCTTGGAGCAGCGGTGCGCAGAGCAGCGGAACGCAGAGGTGATCTCTGACTATGAGAAACAGCTCCGAAACCTGAAGGATGAGATTGCTGTCTTGTCGGCTGAAAAAGCTGGTCTTCAAGGAAGGTCTGACAAATTCTCATTGATCTTTTCATTTGGCTTTTTTTTTTTTTTCCCCTCTGAGCTAGTAGTAAAAGTGCGAAGTTGGTGGAGTTGGGGACTACAGTGACCCTGTAAACCAAAACTGCAACAATTTGGGAAGCTTTGTCTTATAAGGGGATCATTTTCTTTCTGCACTCTTCCAGAGAGAGAAAACAACTCCTGGATTGCTAGTAATTTCCCTTCAATGGGGAAATATGGGGAGGGTGGTTGTTTACTTGAAACCAGGCTGTGTGCACTGGTCAGGTGAGAGGTGCCTGAGTTGAAAGGATGTTCATGATGTAGGGGTTCTTTTCTCTGAGGTCTAGGACTCTTCTCTCCAGGGACAGCAGTCTGCATGGTATTTTTTTTCTTAAAATTTTAAAAAATTTGTTCTTTTTAGATATACTTGACAGTAGAGTGTATTTTTTAATATTTATTTTTTTAGTTGTAGTTGGACACAATACATTTGTTTTATTTATTTATTTCTATGTGGTGCTGAGGATCGAACCCAGGGCCTCATACATGCTAGATGAGCGCTCTACCGCTGAGGGAGTATAACTTATCCTAATTAGGATCCCATTCTTGTGGTTGTACATGATGTGGTGTTTCACTGGTTGTGTATTCATATATGAACATAGGAAAGTGATGTCTGATTTCATTCTACTGTCTTTCCTATTCCCATCCTTCCTCCCTTCCCTCCATTCCTCTTTGTCTAATCCAATGAACTTCGATTCTTTCCTTCCCTACCTTTATTGTGTGTTAGCATCTGCATATCAGAGAGAAATTCTGCCTTTGGTTTTGGGGGACTGGCTTATTTCACTTAGCATAATAATCTCCAGTTCCATCCATTTGCCAGCAAATGCCATAATTTCATTCTTCTTTATGGCTGAGTAATATTCCATTGTGTGTGTGTGTGTGTGTGTGTGTGTGTGTGTAGGTATGTGTGTGTGTATGTATATATATGTAATATTTTCTTTATCCATCTGTTGAAGGGCATGGTATTTTTTTTTCCCTATGTCACATGATGGGTGGTGTGTATAGGTTAAGTATTATGAAATCCTTTTCCACTGAAGGGCAGGTGTGTTGAGGTGGGTCATTAAGACAGTGTGAGATGAAGAACACAGAAGCATGTTGATTTTGGGAGTCTCCTCATCACTTTTATTTTTTCTACCCCCTCTGCTCCAGGCTCCCAGCATGCTCTAATTCAGGCTATTGAAACATCATCCTTGCCTGTACCCATTTCCCTAAATGACTCCCTCTGTGCTGTCCTGGTGCTGATGTGTACTTGCTCCCTGGAACCTGTTCCTTTCTGCCATGGTAGGGGCATCTTCACCCTGGAAATTAGCAAACATAAGGCCTTCTCCACCCCTTCCGATAGCCTGCCAGTCAACACTGACAGCATAGTACAGTTTCTCATGTAAAACGTCCCTTTTCTGGGGCCATGTCCTCTGGATTAGCTGGTTGATAACTTCACTTCCTATTGGGTAGCAATCCAGATTGTCCCACAAGGCTCAAGCGATGTGCTCCTGTGGTGTGTTAGTATTCCAGGGTCAGAGTCAGAAACACCCACCTCTGACTTCTCCTCTTGAACTCTGGCTCTTGCTAGCTGTGTTCCTTGAGGATGGTCCTTTAGTTTTTTAAAGCTTCAAGTTCCTTATGTGTAAAATGGCCAAGAAGCAGAGCTGGCCTCACAGGGTTGTTTCAAGGATAGACGTGCCACACTAAGGGGAGTGCTTTATAAATCCCAACTCACTAGGCAGATATGGAATATTTCTTCCAGTAATTTCTTAGTTGGGGTGGCCTTTGAGACTGGGGGGAAGGTCATTCCAGAGAGCCACTTGACCTCCCTTGGAGGGTTGGGTGTGTCATTTGCAGTTGATGTGGGGAGAAGAACCGGGGAACAAGCAGAGGCCAGGGACTCAGCGTGTCCCACCTGATTCCTCCTCCTCCACAGGGCACCCAGGAGCCGGTCTCCTAGCCCTGGCCCACGCAGCCGCAGCCACAGCCGCAGCCACAGCCACAGCCGGAGCCACAGCCGGAGCCAGAGCCACAGCCGCAGCCAGAGCCGCAGCCGCAGCCACAGCCTCAGCCACAGCCCAAGCCACAGCCCCAGCCGGAGCAGGTCCAGCAGCCCCAACAACAAAATCGCCAAGATCAGAAACACGTCCCCAAACGGTGGTTCCAAAATGTCCAGTGTGGCACGCAAAGCTGCTCTCCTGTCCCGATTCAGCGACGCCTATTCCCAGGCCCGCCTGGATGCCCAGTGCTTGCTGCGGCGCTGCATCGACAAAGCAGAGACAGTGCAGCGGATCATCTACATCGCCACTGTGGTAGGTGACACTCTGGTGGCCAGACTTGAGCTGTCCTGGGTGCAGTGGGGGGAGACATTTGGATAAAGTGAATGGTACAACTTTAAAGGGACTTGTGCATCTTGAGGTCACTGAATGGGGGCATTCCGGTCTCCCCTTCTGTCCCTTCCCTCTCCTTCACTCCTTCCTTTCTTCCTCACTTCCTCCCTCTCTCCCTCCCTTCTTTCATTACAAATATTCGGGGGTGAATTGCTTTTCACAACAATAACTGTTCATATGCATTTATTAGTATTGACCGATTTGTTGAAGAAGAGTCCATAAATGTAGCACTCTTTTCAATGGGTATATACTAAGTTGATTAGCACTGTAAATCAACTTTGTCTAATATGATCATACGAGCACACACACACACACACACACACACACTCTCTCTCTCTCTCTCTCTTTCTCTCTCTATATAAAATCAATCACTGCAAATGACTGTTGCTTGATTCATTTACTTCAGGTCTAAACATCAGAAGTTGCAATTGTGTCAACTCTTCATTTATTTAATGAAGAGTAGTTAATGAAACTGCTAATACACCAGCTTGCTTGAGTAGGGCAAATTAAAAACCTACAGTCCTTAGTTTCCAAAGTAAATACATTTATTCAATGGGTTGTTCAATGCCATACTGAGATACTTAGGATCTATTATGAGAATAATTAGATATAAAAAAAAGAAAATGTTGCTATGACAGCAGGATTGTCCAGAATCCTGTGTCTATTCATTTATATCAGAGGTCAGTACACCATGGCCTGTGGACTATACCTGGGCCTGGCTTGTATTTCTATGAGAAATACTGCCCCCAAACTAAGAATGTAAGAATGATTTTTACATTTTTAAAGAATTGTAAGGGAAAAAATGTGAGAGACTGTAGGTAGTTTGAAAAACCTAAAAGATTTGGCTCCTCATACAAAAATTTTTTGCCAACCCTGGTTTTTATAATTAAGAATCATTGAGTTGGTTATAGCTGTGCAAACATAGAGGCTGAGTCTCTTTTTTGTAACTGAGTTTTCCCGGGGCCTACTATATAAAAGGTATTTAGAAAGATTTATTGAATTAATATGTAACAGGAAATATGCATGACAATGTGCTTATGTGGGGAATGAACTCTAGACTGATAGTTTTCTCTCATTCTCGGCCAGTGATATGCTATTGTAGTGGGCTCATGGTAGAGGACCTCTGTCCTTAAATCTGTACTATCCTGCTTCACTGCACTCAGAAAGACCGGAACAGTGGCTAATGCTTGCAATTAGTGAATGTGGGCTGTTATGTATCTACTTGCATGCTTTTTCAAAATTGAGAGATGTTATTTTCTATCATATTAAAAACATTTCGACCAACTGTGTTCAGTTATCTGAAGTCTAATATGATGTGGACTTTGTTATTCTTTTGAATTCATTTCTTTGAACTTATTTACCCTCCTCCTCCTCTTATTAGATAATAAATGTGCTGTGTTTTCACACGCAGGAGGCATTTCACGTGGCGAAAATGGCATTCAGACACTTCAAGATCCGGGTGAGGAAGACATTAACACCAAATTATGGAGGGTCGAATGACTTTGAGAATGCTGTCTCCGAATATATCATTTGCCATCTTGATCTGTATGACTCCGTTAGCAGTGTTAACGTAAGTGTTGGGTCTCTTGTTAGAACTGGCTTGTGGTTGATGACATTTGCAATGGAGATTCATAATTCAGGAACTCGTTAGCATTTGTATTGCTTCCAGTTAACAGAAGAAGGAACAGCATTCAGTTAGTCTTGTAGCACTAGTCACTTCTATTTTTTTCTTAGAAATTTTATGGAAAAAAATGTCCTGAGCTTCAGAGTACTGTTCTTCAAGTGGGGCCCTAGGATTGGGAGATAGAATATCATAGTTCTTAAGAGGAAGGGATTTGGGAAGTAAGGATGGATTTGCATACTGACCCTGCCACTTGACTGCGCCATGTGATGTTACACGTTTACATAACCTTTCGGGGCTTAGATTTTCTAACCTTTAAATGGAAACAACAATGATTATTACCCCAGAGTGTCATTGAGAGGATTTAATGAAAGAAAGCGGATCGTTTACTTAGCACGAGACTTTGCACATAGTAAACACTCAATAAAAGCAAGCTATTTTAATTATTCTTATGGATTAGGAACACGTCAGACTTCTGTGTTGGCACCTTATACACTTACACAGCAAAGAAAAATAAGAAAATAATTTAAGAATCCATGGACCATTTTCCCTCTTAGTTTTGGGCCTTCAGCATGTCATTTGTGCTCTGTGTATCTTTCCTCCTTCCTTATCAAAGAGTGACAACATCCTTCTTTATGTAGCACCTATACTGTTTTTCTGGCTTATTTTCATTGAAACCCTCTTTTCCCATCCCCCATTGGTCCTAGCTGATGTTAGAGTCCTCAGGGTGTCAGAGTGTCTTGTCACAGGTTGGCCACCAGATAATGCCATTTTTTTTTTTTTTGGTTTTGTTTTTCAGGATGTGATCCGTGCCATGAATGTCAACCCCAAGATCTCATTCCCCCCTGAAGTTGACTTTTGCCTTCTCAGTGACTTTATCCAGGAGATTTGCTGCATCGCCTTTGCCATGCAGTCCTTAGAGCCACCCCTTGACATTGCCTTTGGGGCGGATGGAGAAGTTTTTAATGACACCAAGTAAGAGACACAGGAGCAGAAGCTAAGGGATCCCCCTTAATAACTGCCTTGCTTCTGTTCCTGGGAACAGTGCCGGGGAGGGGACTCCAGTATATGTGTGTGTTGGTGGGGGGATGAGTAGACCCTCTGCTCTCCAGGGCCTGCTGTGGACTTCTCTGTACTTCTGAGCAGGCCCTTCCTGGGTTCATTCTCCACTAAACAGACTGGGCTTTGGAGAGAACTAAGGGTACCTGGAACCTGTCTGGAACATTTTAAAAGAAAGGTGCTCTATAAATGCAAATGTGTATTATTTTTTATTGGCTTTTATTGAATTATTTAGGCTAGGTTCCTCAAAGTACAGTGTGCAGTGTGCAAATCACTCAAGGTGCTTGTGCAAAACACACATTCCTGTGCCACATTCCATGATACGCTGTTTCATGCTGTCAGTCTGTGGTGGAGCTTAGGAAGCTGCAGTTTAAAAAGTACCCAGTGTGCTTTGTGCACACTAAAGTTTGAGAGGATGGACTGTATTCTTATCTAGAATCAGATTTCTAAATTTTACATGACAGATATTCTCTTTATAAATTAAAAGATATTAAATTAATTTTAAACATTTATCGAGATTTGATGAAATTTTAGCTATAACTGGAGATTAATCTGGGAAGAGGCCGAGAACACTGATTCTGTCTTGGGCTGCCTGGGTTCAAATCTCAGCTCCACTTCCTGTTGGCTGAGTAGTCCTAGGCATGCTACTCTGTTTTCCTGTTCCTTAATTTCTTCTCTGTCAAAGGGGGAAATAATGATGCCTACTCCCTAGGAATAGAAGGATAGCTGAGGTAACTGCTGGCATGCTCAGGAAATATCAGCTCTGGGTGTTGTTGGAGTCATGGAGTCGGGGGGAAGGGGCTACCCAGGACTCTTGAAAGCATGTTGTTGAGGGAGACCACATACCTTTTGGGGGCTTAGGCAAATCACATCAGTGATTGGGCTTTCTGGTTGCCTTACAGCACAGCTTTTATCTGTTTCTAGTTTCTTTTAGGTCACTGATCCCAGCATGCCTCCACTCATGGAAGAACATGACATCACAGGTGGATCTTTCTGAGCATATATCATCATGGTCATCCACCTTCCTTTATTCCTCTCTCCTTTGGAGGATGGACAGTAACACTCAAACTTTCACCCATTTTAGTTTGTAGAATTTTCCCATTTCCCAGACCTGTCTGCCCTCCCAGTCACAGGCCTTTAACCAGAGGCACCTCCTGCCTTTCTTGCCTGGATGGCTGTCCAGTTAAAATCAGGATTCTGAACAAAGATTGGCTTTGTTTCTACCTTCAGCTCTCTGAATCCGCCAGGGTCTCCATCTGCAGATTCAACCAACCAGGGAATCATAGTTCATGCTCTGCTGAGTATTCATTTTAATGAAAGTGTCTGCAATTAAATATAGGCGAGTTTGAACTACCAGTGGAGGGGGTTAACAAACGTACAGCCATTTTTCTTTTTTTTTTTTCTCATATTTAGCCTTAAAATACTGTTCACACATTTTGAGGGCAACTAAAACCTGCTATTTTATTTCCTCTCATGTTGAGACTAAACCATGTTTCCTTTATTTGTTCAGTTAAATTCTCTTTAGACTCAGTTGCAGGACCTCATATACATTAACCTTTAGTTTATCATATTAGAGCCAACTTATTTTTGTGGCCTTATTGATCTATTTTTGTATAATCATCATCTGTTTTTCATTTCCTATCCTCCACACCTTTGAGCATGTTTCTGTTTGTACAAGTCGTTGGTAAACGTGTTGATGTATAGGATTAAAAGAGAACCTTTAATATCTTCAGTCAGGTTCTTGTTGATCCATTCATTACTCTTTGGATAGGATCATGGAACCAGTTTCCAGGCCACCTGCAGAAGTAAACCATCCACCTGTATTTCTTTTACTTTGTCCACAGAGACAGCATGGAGAATCTTATAGGAAGCCTATGGGACTTCAGATAGTCTCATTTCCCTGTCTTGCGAATCTTACAATCCTGAGCAGAGAAGGAGTAAGATTAGTCTCCAGGACTTGCTCTAAGTGACTTCCTGACAGGTCCTAGTTATCATTGGTTTCTATTTTAAGATCTTGCAGCCATCTCTTTAATAACAGGATTGGGATCCATATTTACCTAGATCTAAGCATAATCAAAAAAGAAACTTCACACACAAGGTTTCCCCCGATGCTGCTATATAATTGCTTAACTTCTTTTTTCTGTTCTTTTGTGTTTACTGTAGGTACCGTCGTAGCTATGACTCGGATTTCACCGCTCCCTTGGTCTATTACCACGTATGGCCTGCTCTCATGGAGAATGACTGCGTCATTATGAAGGGAGAAGCTGTCACCAGGAGAGGGGCTTTTGTACGGTGGCCTTGCATAATGACAGTTCATCCCCAGTATTTGATTCACAAGTTCGAGAATATTTATAAACCCAAAGATTCTATAGAAGAAGTTGATGAAGAGTTGTTTAAGATTTCATAAAAAGGAGAAGAAGATGGCCTTAGAAAAGCAGATTGTTTTTATTTATTCTTCCATCATTCTGCATTATTCCCTGGCAGTAATTTCTTCATTGCTCTATTTATAAGATGGAACTAGTCAAATTTACCTCTTCTTAGAGGGATTATGATATTTTAAGGGAAAACCCTTGAAATCGTCTTGTTTGGAGGCTTTCTATAAACCTAAGCATTTGAAAGTGATTAATGAACTTTCAGGAAACAATTTGACAATTTTTTACTGATAAGTCTTCATTTTGGGAAACTATGAATGTGCCAATTTTCTCTCCTTGGTATGACATGTAGAAAGGGGAGGGATGGAGAAAAAGAGGAGTCAGGGAAGAGGAACAGATCAGTTTTGGAAGATTGCTTTCTCTATATTCAGGGCTATACAAGTGCTAAACATATTAAATAATTTAACAGACTTCATAAGGGAATCCTGGGTGTCTAATTGTGTGAGCATGTGTGTGTTGTAGGAGGACCGGGTGCTGCAACTGGTGGCCACAGGTGCTGGGTTGTACATAGTTCATGGGATACAGTGTGGAACCTGGCCTTACCTAAAAAGGGTTAATTCTAAAGGGAAACCCCTTGATCCAGAGCAAAACCATCATCTGGGTGGTCTCTGATTCGATTCTCTTTGAACTGGGCAATAGGGGAAGTGCCTGCCTCTCATGGCAGCATATAGTGAAGGGGAGGGGTGTATTTTATTTTCAAAGAACTTAGGAAAATGGTTTGTGTAGCTTAAAAATCCCATTGTGGTGGATTGTAGCTTAATAAAATGTTTTGTGCTCTGAGAGTGGAGCTCATCAAAACTGGGTTTTGTTGATCTGACAGCTACATAAGCTCTACCATGATCTTATGAGAGAATAAGGTGTGCTTCCTGACCTCCAATACTGCCTCTTAAACACTCCGCTGCACTGCAGTTTGGCAGGGAGAGAGAGGAAGCAGCCACTGTACTCATATTCTCCACCAGTTTCCTTTATCCATCTTCCTTCTCTCACATCAAGTATATCACCAACACTTGCCCAAGCTTAAACCTCAAAATCAAAAGATTTTGATTCCCCAAAAGGAAAAACTTGGAAAAGAAAAGGGTTGAGTTGAAAGAGAAATCTTAAGAAGGGATTTTACTTGTAGGATAAAATCGTATATTATTATTGAAACAATAAAAACAGCATATGGTGTAATATATGCAATCAGATAAATTGGAGATACAGTTCTGGTCTTCATTCATTTACAGTTAGAGAGTCAATGTGCAACAGTGGTGTTTCATTCAGTGATATTTATTCAGTACTTATCTGTGATCTGAGCAATGTACTTAAATGCTAGGGGATTTGGCAATGAATAAAATAGACACAATCCCTGCCCACCTGGAGCTTATATTCTCCAACACTTGCAAACTTAAATGGGGTTTCTAATAGTTTACTCTAAGAAATTAAAAAAAATCTAGTACCAAGAATCTGAATAACCCCAAGTTCATTTTAGCTTGATTTTATTTGAAAAATTATTGCCCAATATTGGGCAGTCATAGGAAATAAAAAGAATGTAGCCCATACTGGTGACCAGTCATGGGCAAGGATAATCCTGTTGGTAAACCTCTTGTTTCACGGGATATGCATGTTGTTTGAAGCCATGTCAGTTTTTGCACATTCTTTTGTACATTCTTAATTACTTACTTCTCTCTCTCTGACTCTCTCTCTCTGTCTCTCTCTCTCTTTTTTTTAGTGGAATTCAGTGAGAGCTGTGAGTCGGTGTCGAAGCAGGAGTTTAAGTCCCATTTGCCCCCGTAACCGCATTGGTTTAAGCACGGTACTTATCTGTCTAATCATTTTTACACAAAATGCCTACAACCCACGTTTTCTTTGCTTCAGCAGTCTCTTTGGTGATTGTAAGTCTATCATAGGTATAAAGAGAGCTTGTTGCAATATCACTAACCCTAAAGTGATTTTTATACTACTGTGGGCTAAGGAGTTTTACCATTCTAGAGTGAAGGAAGAGGAGGAGGGTGGGTTTTTTTTTTTTGGTATTTTTAATTAGTTCAAGCAATAATAGATTTTCCTTACTTAGTAGTTTTATTATCTCTGATGTTAGCCATTAGATATCAGATAGCTTTCTGAAAAGAGAAGGAGATGCCTTGGTCAACTGATCTGGTCACAGGTCCCTGGTTCCTCTCACAATTACTGTGTGAGTTTGGGGAAATGGTTCATTTCCAATCCAAATCCAAATGGATCTGGATTTCATTACTTTATTGAAGGTATTTATTTGTCCCCAATTTCATAGTAGGAAAAATTCGTTTCTTTGTGTATTGGTTCTTCGAAGAATTACTTACACTTTCATCAAGATAAAAAAGAAACAACCAGAAAAACATCTCTGAAAATTTTGAAGATAGCATCCCTAGAAACATTATTACAACTCACCACTGTCCATTTATTCAACAAATAATATTTAGTCAAGACTGGAGCAAGACATATATATGTCAGAGAGGCTAACAATCATCTATTCCTTCAAACAGCATTTGTTTACATGTATGTTCAGCCTTGTTTTAGAAGAGAGCAGAGGAGCAGAACCACACTTGATAATGTTAGATGTCTCTGAAGTGTTCTTTAACATAGCAGGTGCAGCCCCAAAGGGGCGAGATCTCCTTGGCAACAAAACAAAACAAAACACAGCTAACAAGAGTCACCTTTCTCTTTTTTAATTATTTTGTAAAAATTTTAACTTGTTATATATGACAACAGAATGCATTACAATTCATATTATACATATAGAGCACAATATCTCTGGTTGTACACCAAGTAGAGTCACATCTTCATATCTTCATACATGTAACCTAGTGTAATGATGACCATCACATTTCACTGTCTTTCCTACCCCCTCCTCCCTCCCATCCCCCTCCTCTTTTCCCATTTGCCCTATCTAGAATTCATCTAATCCTCCCATCCCCCCTGCAGCATATTATGGATCAGCATTCTTAAATTAGAGAAATCATTCATCATTTGTTTTTGGGGGATTGGCTAATTTCACTTAGCATTATATTCTCCAGCTCCATCCATTTACCTGCAAATGTCATGATTTTATTCTTTTATTGCTGAATAGTATTCCATGGTGTGTATATACCACATTTTCTTTATCCATTCATCTACTGAAGGGCATCTAGGTTGCTTCCACAGTTTAGCTATTGTGAATTGTGCTGCTATAAACATCGATGTAGCTGTGTTCCCGTAGTATGCTGTTTTTAAGTCCTTTGGGTATAGACCGAGGAGTGGGATAGCTGGGTCAAATGGTGGTTTCATTCCCAGTATTCCAAGGAATCTCCATACTGCTTTCCATATTGGCTGCACCAATTTGCAGTCCCATCAGCAACATAAGGTTGTGCCTTTTCCCCCCCACATCCTCGCCAACACTTATTGTTCTTTGTCTTCATAATAGCTGCCATTCTGACTGGAGATGAAATCTTAGAGTAGTTTTGATTTGCATTTCTCTAATTGCTAGTGATGATGAACATTTTTTCATATATTTGTTGGTTGATTGTATATCCTTTTCTGAGAAGTATCTGTTCAGTTCCTTGGCCCATTTATTGATTGGGTTATTTTTTTTTGGTGTTAAGATTTTTGAGTTCTTTATATATTCTAGAGATTAGTGCTCTATCTGATGTGCATATGGTAAGAATTTGTTCCCAATTAGTAGGCTTTCCATTCACCTCACTGATGATTTCTTTTGCTGAGAAGAAACTTTTTAGTTTGAATCCATCCATTTATTGATTCTTGATATTAATTCTTGAGATATACAGGAGTCTTATTAAGGAAGTTGGGGCCTAATACAACATGATGGAGAGTTGGGTCTACTTTTTATTCTAATAGATGCAGTATCTCTGGTTTAATTCCTAGGTCCTTGATTCACTTTGATTTGAGTTTAGTGCATAGTGAGAGATAGGGGTTTAATTTCATTTTGTTGCATGTGGATTTCTAATTTTCCCAGCACCACTTGTTGAAGAGGCTATATTTTCTCCAATGTACATTTTTGGCACCTTTGTCAAATATAAGATAACTGTAATTATGTGGATTGGTCTCTTGTGTCCTCTATTCTGTACCATTGGTCTATAAGTGTATTTTGATGCCAATACAATGCTGCTTTTGTTACTATTGCTCTGTAGTTTAGTTTTTTTAAAATATTTTTTTTAGTTGTAGATGGACACAATACCTTTATTTTATTTATTTATTTTTATGTGGTGCTGAGGATTGAACCCAGTGTCTCACATGTGCTAGACAAGCGTTCTTCCACTGAGCCACAATCCAGCCCAGACTTACCTTTCTTAAGGAGTTTAGCAAGCATCTTGTTTCTGCAGCTGGCTCCTTCTCAAACATTCCTTCTGTAACTGATAGATGTCAGATTTTGGAGGGACACAAAAACAACTAAGCATGATTAGTCTTTCCCTGAAAGGACCCCCATATAGGAAGATCAATATAATTTAAACAAATAACTGAATGTAATCCAGTCTATAAAGCAGTACAGTCTGTACAACAAAGGCCATGATAGTAAAATAAATAAATAAATAAATAAATAAATAAATAAATAAATAAATAAGCTCTTTGGGGAGCTCTTTGGCTCTTTTAGAATGAGTAGAATTTCAATGAGCTGAGAATTGGGGAAAATATTCAGGGGAGGAAAATGGCCTAAGAATGGTGGGGAGGTGGAAGAGGCATGTAGCTGTGTAATTTTGCTCTTGAGGATTTTAATATAACTTGATTACCTGTATTTCTGATTAAGTATTTAAAAAAGACATGCATGTAATGGACTGATAAATAAAAGGAAAATAGTGGGAGCATTATACTGGGAGAATCATAGTCTTCCCATTCCAAGAGGAAACTGCATATTAGAGGAAAGTAATGTTAGACATGTCTTGTGTGACAGCTGGGGCAGACTGTCACTCTGGACTCTGATTAGACATTTCATCCATGGACAGTGTCCTCCGTGATGAGCCCTAGACACGTCTAAACCTTCTGTTTCTCATTTTTGCTAAAGGGAACAAAGTAATTTGAACTTTAGACAAGGGAGTTAGAATGTATTCTCAAAGGTGAAACTTCTGCCAACATTCCTTCTCTTTCCATCAGCCTCTCTCTGCAACAAAACTGGGTATATCTGCAAAATAAAATGTAAATGTTTTTGGTTAGTCTGGCTTTTTGGCTTATTTGAGGTCATCCAGAACAGACTCTATCTTCCTTAGCAATCTATTTATTTAAAGTGTTGGACAACTCAGGGCAGGAATGATGCTTGCAGGCAGCGTCAGCTGAGAGTAATAATGGTAGCTTCTGCTTATTGAAATTAAAGATGAGATTTTAAAGGCAGGGTTTTGGAGACATGAGACGACTTATTAAGGCTATGTAATAGATGATTATATCATTATTTTAGATTTCATTGATTATTATAATTATTATTTTCTGAAAAGCATTAATTTCAATATGGCCATTGAACCCAGTTTGTAATTAATACTATAATTTAAACCACACTGAGTGCCCATTTAGTTCAAAAAACATAAAAGGACTCACAGTGGTCAGCCTCAGGGGAGAAATCATAGTTCTAAAGGGCCTCGGAGCAACTAATTAGATAGTTTTGGGGGGGGGTAAAAAACACGTCCAAAGGGTTCATCCTTTGAGCTCTGTCTACTGTGTGGTTCACATTACACTTTGTCTTATTTTTCAGATATCTCGAAGTCGAAGTCCTTCTCCAATAAGATGTACATTGCCAAGTAAGCAGGATAGTTAAGACGGATTGAGTTTTCTGCTTTTGAATACTCTTCCTAGTACTCAGCATTGTGTAGCACCATGAGTGTTTGGCTCCTTAGAGAATATCCCTTCCCTTCCTATCATCCATTTCTGGGTCCTCTCACTGATGGGACCCATGCCGGTCCCTGGAGTTAGACAGGAAGAGCCTCTAGTTGAGAGGTTTAATTGCTGTAAACCTAGATCAATCACCCCTTTTACGTTTATATACTTCCAAAAGAAAACTCTAAGGATCTGGCCATAGTGATGAACTGTTTGTTTTTCTCCACAGGGTTTTAAAACCACCACGGGTGGTCCTATGCCACCGCATGTAGTGCATCATTGCAGCCACCTTTCCCCTGGGCCTCCTGCTGCCTGCCTTGTCCGCCTCCGACTTCAATTAGCATGATGTGAACTGGCATTCTGTGTATCCCTCTACACACAGAGTTAAATGTTTTGGCTTAGCGCATCTGTAATTTTAGATATATTGCATTTTATTTTATTTTATAGATACAAATTCCATTAATTTCATAAAAAAACGATTGCATAGGCATTTAGGATCATATTCATTTGAAGCAAAGTCCATTACAAAGATTCAGGATTTCCATCTTGAAAATACTAGGTTCTTTTATAGCAACTATATGAACAAGAGTGCAAAGTCTTTAACATGCTGAATCCAAAAGAAAGGGCATTTTAGCTTATAGGTTGATCATACATGTTATAATTGTTAGTATCAGCTTTTAATCTGAAAAAAAAAATGGGTGCTCTAATTGCATCTTAAGGTTTGGAAGACAACACCAATCATATTAGTAGCAGTGATATCAGATTAAGTGTAACCTGTAATAATTTAAAAGTATGTCACTTTGTTGGTTTGCTTTTCTGTTTTTGCTTTGAGAGTTACCCATTTTGGCTTTGTGGAGTACCAAATGTGGAAGTCACTGAGTTGAGAGGTTTCTTGCTTCATAAACACAGAGCAGTAATTTGATTAGATGCAGCTTTGAGATAAATGTTGATCACCTTGCATTATCTACTTAGAAATGTCTTAAAAATCACCTTGCATTATCTACTTAGAAATGTCTTTAAGAAATGTCTTAAATGCACATGTTAAATATACAAGTTACCTATGGGACCTGTTCATTACCTATTCCTCCTCCTATAAACTCCAACTGACTAAAAATACTAGAACTTAAGAAGTAAAACTCAGGGCATCATTTATCTATTTTAAATTGAGCTTTTCTCATTGACTTGTTCACTGTGAAGTACTCTTGAAAGTTCACATTCAAGATAATAAGGAACTGTGATTTCTCTAGAAGCATGATGTTCTTTCTGCCCTGCCTCCTCTTCTCAATCCACCCTTACACCTGAGCCCTCACCATTGACTGCAGTTTCTATATACCTTTTAGAGAGAAATTTTGAATTGGACACATCTTAGTTTGCTGAAGTTCAGTACCTGATGCTTTTCAGATGGGCAGAACAAAAAACTTCTCTAGAGCATCTTGACACCCTGTCCTGGGGGTGGGGGGATTTCCTTAGTCTCTTTTCTTTGAGTCCAATGGCCACTGGATCTCTCTGAGGTGTGAGTTTAATTTTCTCTCTTTGTGCATTTATGTCATCACCTTTTTGAGATCTAGTGGTGTGTTGGAAGGAGCACTAGGTGTCCCCTAGGTAGCTCCTAGAGTCCCTCTGGTCATTAGCCTGCTTTGTGGGCTTGAGCAAGTTATGTCATCTCTCTGAACCTCAGTTTCATTGTAGAGTGAGAGTGCTGGATGAAATTAGTGCTTCTTTTAACCCTGGCAGGCTTAATCCCTCTTTTATAGCAAATATTTTAATCTGGATATCCTGAGATGAAAGCCAAAGTTAATATAATCCATGTATACATAGAATTTTTACATTGAATATAGTACCCCAAACTGTAAAATAAAACAGAGGGAAAGCAAAGCAAATTTAATAAAATGTATTTAAAAATTTAAAAAGAATGGGTATAGTTACCCTGGAAGATAAGGTGTTTGATGCTTTTATGCAATATCTGCCTGTGGAATCCCTAGCTACAGCTGCAGCTTGATGTGTGTTGTGTTGGCAACAGAAGATGTATCTAATGTTGTCATTAGATACAACTTTCTGAAGTGGAAGGGTCATATTAAAAGGTACAATTAGTTGGCTTGCTTGGTAATATTTTGAACAACAACAACAACAAAATAGTCTTGCTTGACTTATACAGCAAATTTCACTCCTGGACAATTTATTGTATATTAAAACCATGCAATTAGTTACTTTGTGTTATGTGTTGAAAGGTTTATTTTTTCTGAAGTCTAAGCAATGAGAATGCCTATGTGCCATAAATTCTTTTCAGGAGACAGATGTATACTCTAATTTGGAAAAAAGTCACACAGCTCAATTATTTGCTTTTGGTCCTGTCTGGCCGCTTTCCATTTCTCAAGTTTCTGATTTGAACTCTAACTACAGAGGGAAAGTGGAATAGTCTAGAATCATTTTTGGAAAGAATTCGTGAAACCAAAGGAAGCTGATCTGGACTTATTTCATCTGGGTATGTGACTTAACTTAGAAACACTGAAAATGAAAAAAGAAATCTTGTTTTTGTTTTACCCTGGGTAAATGTTAGTTTCTATATTATTGGTTTAACATCTAATAATAAAATCAATAAAAATGCTTTTTGTAATTGTCAGTTCTTTGCAATGAAGCGCTCTCCTCTCAGGTTGCAGGTTAGTGATGTCCTTTACCATCTCTAATCTGTGAGATCTTGTTTTAGTCAGCTTTTTTGCTGCTATGACTAAAAAGACCCAACCAGAACAATTGTAGAGGAGAAAAAATTTATTTGGGGGCTCAAGGTTTCAAAGGTCTCAGTTCCACAGACAGCAGGCTTCATTCCTTGGGGCTTGAGATGAGGCAGAACATCATGGCAGAGAGTGTGACAGAAGGAAGCAGCTCACACGATGATCAGGAGAGAGAGAGAGAGAGAGAGAGAGAGAGAGTGTCCATTCACCAGATACAAAATATATGCCCCAAAGGCACACCCCAATGACCTCCTCCAGCCACCTGATCTGCCTTCAGTTCCCACCAAGTTAATCCCATCGGGGGGTTAATCCACTGATTGGGTTAAGGCTCTCATAACCCAAGCATTTCACCTCTGAATATTCTTGTACTGTCTCACACATGAGCTTTTGGGGAATACCTCACATCCAAACTATAACAGGCCTGAACCATGACCATATTCATTCAAAAAATAATTGACTGCACCCTGCTCTTAGGTTGACCTCTGGATTACTGCAATTCCATACCATAACTTAATTGCTAATTTACTATTCTTCACAGATCCTTCTCACTCTCCAGACTCTTTTCCGTGTTCATAAGTTTTCACTTAAATTGCTTCAGTTTTCCCCCACAACACCTCGGTGTGGCTTCAACCTCACAGAGATGGAACCTGTTCATCCAACACACTGCATTCTTGTTTCAGTCTCTTGTTTAAGAATAAGATTCAATCTGTTTTATTTTGTTCCTTCATGTCATATGGTGATCTTAATTTGATTTGTTCATCTACTTACTCATATGCTTACTGAATACCTCCTGTGTGTTAAGGATGTAGGAATGGACAAAGTGCTGGTTTTTATGGAGTTTAATGTCCTGTCCATGTGCATGCCACGATGACTTGTCATAGGGAGTAAGTATGAGGGGGGCAGGAAATGGCATCAAGAATCCAGCAAAAGTAAATGGGACATATTACACAACAATTGAAGGATTCAAAAACATTAATTCATCAAGCAAAGATCTCAACATAAAAACTTACCAAAATGAAGAGTATAAGAATACTGTGACAAACTCAAGAGAATATGAGTCAATTATGTCATCCACAGATGATTGAGCTTACACTCCTGGCAACATTAATAATAAAATGAGTTGGGGAGGGAAGAAAGGAAGAGCCCAGAAAAGATCAGTTCCAACACCTCCCATTACCACAGATGTGTGTTCCATCTGCTGTATTCCTAAGTAACAGGGCCATTTTGCAGACCATTCTAATTTGCTTTTGAGAATACCACAAATCCTGTGAGAGGCAGGTCATTGCCAATAGCATTCTACAAAGTTAAAGTCAAGTGCAAGTTTTCTTAATAGTATTGCTTTGAATAACTTCATACCCATAATCAAGGATAAGGTGTTACGGAGCTTTTAAGAAACTAGCATTACAAACTGCATTAGGTCATTGACATATGATCTCAGGAACCATATGGGTAAGTGACATTTAGTATATGCCATTTAAATACCAAAGCAGTGAAGTGTGTTGACCTTAATACACTAAGTAAGCAAGGGCCTTGAAAATAAGACAGGGACTCATTTTCTTAATTCAAAATAAAACACGATAGAACAATTCCACACTTAAAAAACTGCCTGCTGGGGATCATCAGGTACATCAGACGTTCCATGGTATCACTGGCAATTGCCCATCACAACTGGATAGCTATTTCTACTTTCTTTTGGGTGAACAAGGAATCAGTATGATATATGAGAATGTTATAGCTTTGCTTCAATATGGTTGAAAGATTTTGGGGGGTGGTGATGCTGAGGATTGAACTCAGGGCCTCTTGTGTGTTCTATCACTGAGCTACATCCTGAGTCTGAATCATTTTTAACATTTGATACAAATGAAATAGTGAATTGAAATATGGCACAGAATATATGTTAGAAAAGCTATTTGGTGGTTGGACATTGGTTAGAACTTGAGGATCCTTTGATGAATCAGACTGTTCAAGGGATTTCTGCTATTGGGATGCTGGGGCAGGGGACATCACATCCTTCCTATTTCCTTCTATCTTCATGGATCAGGGAGTAAGCTTCACAGCCATATCTTAAAAGAATGAATTCCAGGATTGGCCCAACTTGTGGGTCAAGAGTTTGAACTTGGAATGGAGAGAAGTGATGTATTCGCTCATTATCCATTCATTTAAGAAGCTTTTGCCTTTGTTTTGTTAAATGGTGT